ATAATCAACATCTTAAACTCTATCTGGAGACCAATTGGCAGCCAGTGCAGATCCCAGAGCTCCCAACCCTGACAAATAGAAACTCAGGCACAAGTTAAACAACATCTTGTGAGCTACTTCCCAATGCGGGGGACGTCTCCTCTCATACCTGGATGCCTAGACAGAAGGAAGCTGAGACTGCCAGGAAAACTTTGATGCAAAGTAATTACATTTTCTCTTGTTGTTTTCTGAAGAAGTTAAGGAAGATAACCTTAAACCTAAAAAGAAAAGGAGTACTTGTGGCACCTTAGAGACTAACCAATTTATTTGAGCATAAGCTTCCGTGAGCTACAGCTCACTTCATCGGATAGCTTATGCTTAAATAAATTGGTTAGTCTCTAAGGTGCCACAAGTACTCCTTTTCTTTTTGCGAATACAGACTAACACAGCTGTTACTCTGAAACCTTAAACCTCTTTCTCCTTTTGCAAAAAATTACAAATGTAGTGAAAGAAAGTAGACCTGTTCTTAATAGTAAACAACTAAATAACTTTCTTTTAACGAACTTTTTGGATGTAATATAGATGAGGTGTAGGAGAGCATCCTTCCAGAGAGGATAGCACCACAACACAATGCAGCAAAAGCCTGCTGCTAAAATCACAGTAGCCAAGTCCTCAAAAGAAAACTTCAGGCTCACTTTACCTCAAGTAAAAAGAAAAGGAGTACTTGTGGCACCTTAGAGACTAACCAATTTATTTGAGCATAAGCTTTCGTGAGCTACAGCTCACTTCATCGGATGCATACTGTGGAAAGTATAGAAGATCTTTTTATACACACAAAGCATGAAAAAAATGGGTGTTTACCACTACAAAAGGTTTTCTCTCCCCCCACCCCACTCTCCTGCTGGTAATAGCTTATCTAAAGTGATCACTAGCCTTACAATGTGTATGATAATCAAGGTGGGCCATTTCCAGCACAAATCCAGGGTTAAACAAGAACGTCTGGGGGGGGGTAGGAAAAAACAAGGGGAAATAGGTTACCTTGCATAATGACTTAGCCACTCCCAGTCTCTATTCAAGCCTAAGTTAATTGTATCCAATTTGCAAATGAATTCCAATTCAACAGTCTCTCGCTGGAGTCTGGATTTGAAGTTTTTTTGTTGTAATATCGCAACTTTCATGTCTGTAATCGCGTGACCAGAGAGATTGAAGTGTTCTCCGACTGGTTTATGAATGTTATAATTCTTGACATCTGATTTGTGTCCATTTATTCTTTTACATAGAGACTGTCCAGTTTGACCAATGTACATGGCAGAGGGGCATTGCTGACACATGATGGCATATATCACATTGGTGGATGTGCAGGTGAACGAGCCTCTGATAATGTGGCTGATGTTATTAGGCCCTGTGATGGTGTCCCCTGAATAGATATGTGGGCACAGTTGGCAACGGGCTTTGTTGCAAGGATAGGTTCCTGGGTTAGTGGTTCTGTTGTGTGGTATGTGGTTGCTGGTGAGTATTTGCTTCAGGTTGGGGGGCTGTCTGTAGGCAAGGACTGGCCTGTCTCCCAAGATTTGTGAGAGTGTTAGGTCATCCTTCAGGATAGGTTGTAGATCCTTAATAATGCGTTGGAGGGGTTTTAGTTGGGGGCTGAAGGTGACGGTTAGTGGCGTTCTGTTATTTTCTTTGTTAGGTCTGTCCCGTAGTAGGTGACTTCTGGGAACTCTTCTGTCTCTATCAATCTGTTTCTTCACTTCCACAGGTGGGTATTGTAGTTGTAAGAATGCTTGATAGAGATCTTGTAGGTGTTTGTCTCTGTCTGAGGGGTTGGAGCAAATGCGGTTGTATCGCAGAGCTTGGCTGTAGACAATGGATCGTGTGGTGTGGTCAGGGTGAAAGCTGGAGGCATGTAGGTAGGAATAGCGGTCAGTAGGTTTCCGGTACAGGGTGGTGTTTATGTGACCATCGTTTATTAGCACTGTAGTGTCCAGGAAGTGGATCTCTTGTGTGGACTGGACCAGGCTGAGGTTGATGATGGGATGGATATTGTTGAAATCATGGTGGAATTCCTCAAGGGCTTCTTTTCCATGGGTCCAGATGATGAAGATGTCATCAATATAGTGCAAGTAGAGTAGGGGCGTTAGGGGACGAGAGCTGAGGAAGCGTTGTTCTAAGTCAGCCATACAAATGTTGGCATACTGTGGGGCCATGCGGGTACCCATAGCAGTGCCGCTGATTTGAAGGTATACATTGTCCCCAAATGTAAAATAGTTATGGGTAAGGACAAAGTCACAAAGTTCAGCCACCAGGTTAGCTGTGACATTACAGGAGAGTGGGTTTGTGTGGGGGGGAAACCTGGATTTGTGCTGGAAATGGCCCAACTTGATTATCATACGCATTGTAAGGAGAGTGATCATTTTAGATAAGCTATTACCAGCAGGAGAGTGGGGTGGGGGGAGAGAAAACCTTTTGTAGTGGTAAACACCCATTTTTTCATGCTTTGTGTGTATAAAAAGATCTTCTATACTTTCCACAGTATGCATCCGATGAAGTGAGCTGTAGCTCACGAAAGCTTATGCTCAAATAAATTGGTTAGTCTCTAAGGTGCCACAAGTACTCCTTTTCTTTTTGCGAATACAGACTAACACGGCTGTTACTCTGAATCCTTTACCTCAAGTGTTTTTTCCAATGGAGGCAGAAGTTCTAGGATATCTGATAGTCACCTATTGGGATTCTTCACATGGTTCTTCATCCTATTTTCTTGGTTCGGACTACACATCTGATTGAGGAAATCTCTCAAGTAGCAAGAAGAAACCACTCTGGCAGAAGAAAACTGGGGTATAGTGACCACAGACACCAGCTTGCTTAACAAAGGATTGGATCTGGCCTCTCACTCAACAAATCAGGTCTACATTAGAGGTCAGAAGGCACATAACTAGGTTGGAATTAGAGGTCAATGTATGGTTTCTTCCATGACTGTTTAGTCCAGACCAAGTTTAGGGAGATCTTATTTGATGATTCCAGGCAACAAAGCTGTATGTAGGGAGAACTGGTAGGTCTTTAAGGTCAGACTGCTCAAATATTGGCTCAGGGGCAATGGTCTTGTAAAGAGCAGCAGGAGGATTGGGGAAGTGCAAGGATGAGCCTTAAACTAGTTTTGCACAGGGATCCTTGATCAGTAGTCTGTACAGATTATTTATACCCCCAAGATCAGTCCTGTGGTTTTCATCCATCATTCAAAAGATGTTTTGTTTACCTAAAATATTTTCCTTTGGGAAGATCTAATATCCACCCACCAATGCTATTTTAAAATAAGTATTTTATACTGGAATACTCAGGTTTCAGTATATGATAATTTTGATCCATCCTAGATTTGACTAAAATCCCATTGATTTGACAGTGGTTTATGCAAATATTGTAGTTCTCAGCATGAAAAGCTTAGAAAAGCGATTCAGTTTAAAAGATGTTTGAATTGAGTATTCAGTTTATAGTGGTGTTGCATTATCTGGAAGCAACACAGGGCTTATATTATCTGTGATGAAAAAGTTTTTTTTAGTTTGTTTAAACAGTATGCAAGTTGACAGATCCAGCTACAAGTCATTGATTGGCTAAAAATCTTCCCTGGAAAGCTTGCAGGGATCCAGCCTCTACAGCATCTTAAAATGAAAAACTGACTGTCCCTTAAATAAATGGAAACCCACACTGGAAAGGGAGTGAGTGACTAATGAGGCTAGTGATGGGTCTGTCACCTTTAGGTCATGCATTTATTTCAGTTTGTAATTTACTGGATGTTTGGAGGGCTATGTGAAATAGGTTGGTGGTCCTACTCCATGTCCTAGTGTACAGGTGTCCACATCATGAAAACTACCACCATGCTTGGCATTAGTTGGAAGTAATTGGCAGTCTCAACAGACAGAACAAGGACTGAATAAGCGTAGACTGAACTACTCTTATTATATTGGGTGTTTAGGTTGAGGCATATCACATTAGTAAGTCAGTTATACAGGATAAATATTATACTGACGGGCAAGTTAGAAATTCATAAGTAGAAGCTTCTGCTTCTTTTGTCAATGCAATACTGTACCTAATCTGTGCATAAACAATGATCTGAAATCTGTAGTGCTTTCAATGTGACATCTTCCATAATTGCTTTAAATTAACTGATAAAATGAGAAAAGAATAATACTCAGATACATTTTCAGATAAAATATATGCAGTGACTAAGGCAATCATGTATTAGATGTTCTTGGTATGTAAATAACCTTTACTGTAAATTGATGTTTAAGGTGTTTTCATAAGATGCTGCCATATTTTAACATTAAATATTGATATTTAGATGAACATTTTGCTCACATACACAGGTTCTAAAGGCACAGAACATCCTGAACATTTATAGACTTTGGGTTCCCATTGATTTTGTTTAACTCTTTGAAGTGGATGGGTCTGGAGTTTCTGTAGTGTAGCTTTAATTTAGAATATTTTGATGCTAATTGGATCCCATCAAGGTGTGGGCACTTGATGAAAGACCTCCAAAATATAGTTTTACATTAGTCGGTTTTTAGAGCTCTTTAAAAAATATAGGACCTATTTCTCCATTCCATTGCACAGTCAGTCCTTAATTAAATATATATAAATGGATCTTTATGGTTGACCAATCTTCACGTTTGCTTCCAATATCACTGACACAATTTTGCATCTGCATTTTATTGCAGTTACAAAATTTGGGGTGCAATTGACTGCATGTACAAAATTGTACCTCCAATACAGAAGGCCAGGTTGATGTTTGATCAGATAGATAGGCTTCTAAATGTGCATCAACAACATAAGAAGCTGCTTTTGAAAACTTGGATCGTAATATAAATACCCCGCTCCCTGTTTCCATCTTTGTAAAATAATGTCTTTTAATGTTTTATGGGATTAAAATGTCATGTTCACAGTCAGCACATGGAGTGTTATTTTGTTTATCCCAGTAATACAATGCTTTTTATCTTGTTCATTTCAAAAAGTGTGTGTTTTATTTTCAGGCCTCCTGGTAGTCAGCAGCAGTGGACAAATGACCAGATTCCACAGGTGAGTTAATCAAAATGGTACTTGTTTAGAACATCAGTAGTTAGTGTTACATCTATTTGGTTTTAGTTTTAGATGTGAGGTACATCATATACAATGACATTTGGAGATCCTTCATTATTATTAGTCAAAAGCTATGGAATTAAGTTGGGAGGACTACCACATCACAAATCAATGTGCTTCCAGTTGCAATTATCTCTTGGTGCATAATATTTTCTAATATTGTATTTTAATTCTTAACCACTTCATGGTCACATGTACAGTCAGCCACTCATTAATTTATGTTGATTATCGCAGACAACATAGTGGAACTGTAGATGTTTGTTAATATTGTAATTTACTGTATGGAGAAAATTTTTGAAAACAAGTCATTGAGTTACCACAAAAATCAATAACAGTGAAATATCAACCTGTCAGTTTGCATTATTAAATGAATTCATCCTGATTAGTTGTAGTGAGTTCTGTAAAATTATGACTTGCCTCCCAGTGGTACAGTGCCCACTGACTAGACACCAATCAAAACTTCCCTTAGAAATAATCAACTTTCATTAACTAGATCCAGAAGTTCAGAATTGTCAGCTCCTATGTCCTCTGGGTGAAGATCACAGAATGTGGGAATGTGGGACCCCTTTGCAAAAAAAAAAAAAAAAGAAATCCATTATTTTCTCTGCTTTAGTACTCCCCAATCTAGAATGAATCCGCCACCCTTTGAGAAGGTAGGCTCATCTGATAGGACCTTCACTGTGCTATTATAGACTATTACATTTAGAACTCTAATCTTGACTTCTGTGGCTGATAAGGCAGTATTATCAACATGCAGTATTGTCTTCTGAAAATATGGTCCAAGTGTCAGGCTGCTGCTTAAGAATGGGCGCCTGCCTGGTCAACCATACTTCAAGGGGGCAAGAGACCCTTTCAGTCTTATAAGAGAATGTCCATTTAGGCATGATGGAATTAAGAGGTGGATCTTCCATGGAACTTTAGCCATGGAAATTTGGATTATTTTGAATGTCTGCTGATCTGCAGGAACTCAATTTAATATTGAAAATATTTTTTAGAAATGCTGTCTGATGTTTGTCAAGCCATTGTCATTGCTTTTTATTGTTCCTTAGAGCATACTATAGTTTTTGTGCTTTATTGCTATTACATAGTTGTGGAGTTAATCCATGAAAGAATCCCCTTTATTTATTTTCCTTGTGTGGAGACATTAATTCTCTAATTGTAATAATGCTATGATGAGAGGTCACCCTGAAGCATGTTTTGCTCTCTTGAACTCAAATATTTTACAAATGTTTCATCGTAGCTGATTCCTCCCCACCCTGAGGGCAGAGAGAACTCCCTGTTTGCTGTAAAATGTTTCATTAGTCACTCTGTGTGTTTGATTGACCTTTGCTTAGTGGTACTGCCTGAAACATATGGAATATATCCCCCTCGCCACTTGCTCTGTGGTTAACATTGTGGTTCAAAATGAAAACCAAAAAAACGTATATTTTAAAAAACAGAAACAGTTCCTGTCTTTCCCCTGCAATTGTCAGTATCTGTTGGAAAGAGTATTGGAGTCGTTTGGACTGGTCTTGCTCAAGTGATTTGCCCTCACTAAAAAAGAGGAAGAGAGGGACACATAATTATGTGCTTCCTAGCCTGAAATTTACCTCTTCCCTCTCCCCCCCCCCCGATCTTTTGTCCATTTTGTTGAAGGCTATGTGACACATGCAACCTTTACAATTTCCATTATATGACTGCTGCAGATTCAAAGTGCATGTAGACTATATTAAGGAAATGACATTTTTTGTGTAAGCTTTATTGTATCAGATTTTATATTTGTTATACACAATTATATAATAAGTGCTAAAAGCTGATGGTATTTCATTACTTGATTGAGATTTATCATCAAACTGAGGTGTCATTTAAACAGCAGAACTGAATTGAATTAAAGTTAAATCAAAGCCTTATGTTGACAAGAAAATTATAAATTCTATCTCTCATAAAATCATCAGTAGATTGAGGAAATAGGATTTTTCTGACTCTTTTGGAGACAGCAGTATCAATTCACTTTGCAAATCATTTGGAAAGAAATATGGAGAAGTTATGAGTCTGATTGATTGATTGATTTTCACAAAGAACTTTTTCCCCTGTAAGGTTGCCAAGAGAAACTGAACATCAGAGTATTTTACCCACCCTGAAAAAACCTGCCATTATCTCTGTGCCCACCACAACTTCTCATCAGGATTCCTATTCGTACACTTCCACTCCAACACAACCCTGGATGTGATTTGGGTAGCATGGACGAGCTGGCAAGTGATTACTGGTGGCTTGCATAGATCAAGCTGGACCAAAGGACCTGCCTCTCCTCCTTGTTTCTGGTGACACAATCACAATTAGAGAGGCTAACAACAATTAAATACCTTTGAGAATCTGGGCCTTAGTAATCAGCCAGGATTCTGTGTCTGTCAGTCTTCTCTTTTTAACTTTATGTATTTCAGAAGTTTAAGTGTGCAATAAAAATTTCTTCTGCATAGATGGTTAAAATAAAAAAAAAGTTTGTCTTGTGCTATTATGATTTTTTTTTAAATCCTTGGTTTAAAATGAAACATTTCATACAATAAGTTCACAATGTGGAATAATTGCTTTGATATTTTATAGGGAAAACTACATAATTTATCTAAAAACAAAACAAACTGCCTAACCTCCATAAAATCTGTTAGTATGTGTGCAAACTTTTTTGGTGTTCTAAAAGTTTATTCACATTGCATTAAATTAATCACCAAATCCCCCACAATAAAGCCTAAATAAATGAGCTCTTCATATCATGAAGCCATGGGCAGGACAGCTCTAATCCTCTGAAGGTAGACAGGGCTTCTGTGACCCCAGTAATTTTTACTGCCATGTTTTCTGATTTTTACTCAAATTGGGTTCAGATCTTAGAGTGTTAAAAACAGTGGTAGCTGCTGGTATCCTGTCTACTGGAGTTTCCACAACAAGCTGAACTAGTAGTAGCAACAATGAGAAATCCTAGGGGAGAAGGCTCGTGTAGGAAAAGAAAACTAAGCACCATTGGTTCAGTCTATAATGTATTACCATTGATGTACCTACTCAGCACAACTCTAAGCAAGTTACTTAGATTTGACTAATATTAATACAAATCAATCTTTTAATATGTTAATGTTTAGTTTCTGAGTTACCGAGTGGGCATTCCTCTTGCTCATATATTTTTTTTAATTCTAGAATTAAAGTGCAATTTTTGGAGTAAAATTTATGTGAAATACAAATAATATTCAAGATGAAAATCAAAATGCAAATATTAGATGTACTAAAAGTAAATAAAATTCACTCTCAACGTACCATGAGCATTCTATGCTTTCCCTTACTATTGTACTGTCGTGGTATGTTAGTGTTTCAGTACAGCTTTAACTGTGAAATTATTTACATGTAGTGTTTTGTGTCATCCTTAATGTTCTTTTAATCTAACTTTTATTGGCTGAATGTATCTTAGATAAGCACATCCTTAAGCATTAAAATAGAACATGTCCAACGTGACTACAAATGTATGTAACTTGTTAGCAAAAACTGTAAGAATATATGTAGGCCAGAGGGGACTTCCTCATTATGAATTTATTTCTTTTTTTGCAAATAGATAAAATCGTGGGAGGTGTAATTAGATTTTATACTTTTTTTATTCCAGCTAATTTTGTAACTGATATAAAACAAAATGAATTTTGACTTTTTCAAAATCGTATACTTTCATAAAGTTAAAATAGCCTTCAAGAACACATTAGTGCACTGCAAAAATTAAATACGTGCTAAGCAATGTAAGCACATGGCACTTTTAATTTTTCAGTAGCCCAAGGGCACTGTTATCTGGTCTTTTCTGGGAAATCACTCATCATGTAGCTATTGGGGAAAGAGAGAGCTTCAGCTCCTTTTCTGGGAGCAATCCAATGCAGTATGGATATTAATTAAATTTATTAAACAAATAATACAGCCACTCAGGGAAGCAGGGGTCCATCTGCCAGCTCTGCAGATTGATCTCTGCAGAGACGCGAGTTGAATGGTAGTTAAAGCTAAGTTGCAGAGCTCAGCAGATGGGCTCTTGTCTCTAGTGGGGGAGATTTGGTGGCGGTCCAACAGCTTTTTTCCCCCTCCAGGTTTTTGTTCCTTGCAACTGTGATTGAAGAAGCACTTCTCTGTCTTTTCTCAGCCTGAGCCCCCTCCCCCTTTTGTTTATCTGAGCAATGTTTAAGTCTGAGTGATTTGTTAGAGAGGCAAGTCCCGGCTGATCTCATTTTGTGTTTATGATGTAAACCTCAAGCAGAAAATAATTAGGAAAATGTAATCCCATTGACTTTACACCCCACTTGTGTACACTGCTACATCTCAGCCTGGTGCCTTGGGAAAGAAAAAGTTTAGAAGCAGATTTGTATTTAATATTGAAAATTACAGCTTGGTATGCATCTAATTTCTCAAAAATCTTTTTGTCAGAGATTTGTACACACAGTATGACAGCACCATTGCTTACTGCCTTTACATTCAGAATCTAGTTTTATTCTTGGATTTCACTTTATTTTCACTTTCTATTTTCTTTCATATTTTTTAAAAAGTATACATTTTCTGAATTCCAATAACACTCTTTATATAGCAGATGAATACTGATTTAGTGAATTGTTTGCTGTATATGGGCATACCTAGGACCTGTTGTATTGTCTAATACTGATTATGAGAAATATACTGGGTTCAATACTCTTGTAATTAATTATGCAATTAGGCCCTTTGTTTATTCATATTTGCAGTTTTGGGAGGTCTCTAAACAATCATTGGTGCAACAGGAAAGCCCAAACCATATAAACGTAATTGTTCTGTTACAAGAAATAGCAATCAATAGAGTTAACAGGTTATATATAAGAGGGATCTATTGTTTATCAGGAAAGGGCCACATTCTGCCTTCCTTACTGAAACTTTAACCAGGCAAAACTGCTATTGAAGTCTGTTGGAATTTTGCCCAAAATAAGGCATGAAGGATTTAGCCCCAAAAGTATATGCTTTACAAAGTAAACAAAAGAGGCACTGTTTGGGATGATAGTTGATGTCTCTGTAGTGTTCGTTGTTTCCTCTGCATTGGCTTTTGGCTCAGATCAGCCTTGGTTTACAAATTTCAGTGTTTAACTCAAAACATGAATACTGTTAGGCTTCGGAAGAGAAAATAATTTTGCTTCCATTGTAGGTTACTGTGTGTTGCTAAGGCTGTGTTTTCAGTTTTAGATCATGCTGTCATTAATAATATGAATGCTTCAGTTACTATGGTAAATTGTCAGAATTAGTTGTTTTTTCATTAGTGCCCTGCCAAGGATTATTCTGAACTCTAACACTAAGACACATCACTGCACCACAGCTCTTGATAGTTTGTTAAACTGGCCCAGCTTAATGCATAGGAGAGGCTTTTGCTGAAAAATGTTTGTTTACCGATGTGTAGTAGGTGAACTACCATTTATCTATCTAATTGGTTGGAACTGAGAAACCACAAGGGATCCTTAGTCTGCAGTTGAATTCATAAGCTATTTACCACATTCTCTCCACTGTCTTATACCTGGACTAATTTTGCTATCTGATTTAAACGGCAATCTAGTTGCTCTGGCATCTCAATTTAAGAGGAGATTGGATGTTCTTGAAGTGAAATGCAAATGTTTTATTTTTGCCTTTAAACAAATGTGCTGTTTTTCCTGTTAAATTAAGGGGGGATTTGAAAATTAGTTATGGATCTCGGGGTATATTTTATGATAGGAAAAAATATAACATTAAACCTCTATAAATTAGTACAAACTAGTAAAACTAGAGGGGAAAAAAGGCAGAAAGTTAGTGGAGATACTTGACCTGCTTGCTGCATGTTGTTCTGTGTCCTCAGAATGAATCTTTCATATTTTAGGAGCGATGAGACTATACTAGTTAAGCAGTAAATAACTAAATTAATTTTTTCTAGGAGTGTCATTTTGGATTAATATGTGGAAATAGGGTAATAACTTTGGCAAAATTCTATCAGTTCTAAATGGTGAATCTTAACTCCAGTGTTCTGTTCTTCTTACATGTTCAGAGTTTCCATCAGTATAGCTGAGGACTTTCTGAGTGTATAGAGAGCAAAATATCAAATACCTAAATTTTGCTTTTAATTGTACCTGTGCAACTCCATTATTTTAAATGGGGGTTACGCAGGTGTAAGTGAGAGTAGCAATGAATCTGAGATAATCTGTGTGGATCTGAGAGAATTCTGCCTATGGTTTCCTAGCTGTCTACTAACAAGCCCTAATGCAGCACTGGCTACTTCTAAATTCTCTCAAGTTTTCTTTTGTCTATTTTATTCTTTGAAATTTTTCATGCATATTTAGCATTTATGAAAGTGAATGCCCAGATGTGGTCATTGAATGAACAGGTCTTTCCCACAGAGGCTCTCAATGTTCCTCAATGCAAATCTGGAACACTATTAATTATTCAGGTTCTCCTAGAACTCTTCTGAGCAAAAACTGTCAGTTTGTGGCATCTAGACATCACGGTGACATGTGCAATAGATATGTCTAAAAACACAATCTCAATATATGTCCACTGGGGTCTAGAAAAGCCATTCTCTTTACATGTTAATTTTTTGATTTTGAACCTCAGAACATAAGGACTGGGTGATGGGTGAAAGGCTACTACATTTCTCCACTTTTTTTTGTCCATATATAATGTTCAATTTATATATTTATAAGTTGGTGTGAATGTGACCCTAAGAATCCCTCAATGCCAACTGGCAAGGGTCCGAGGTTACAAGAGTATCTGATCTTCGTATGTATATTCTGGTTCACCAGAGAATATCATGTGAGGTCTTAAATGAAAGCCAGGTTTACGCTGGCCATTAATATTGTTGTGAAATGTATTTCCTAAAGTCTGTATCAATGTAGAGTTGACAGGTTTTCTGCCAAACAAAAGATGTTTATTCACCTATCTCTGTCATCATGTAAAATAAGCATTGTAAGCCAATACAATAGAAGCCTCATTTTCATGCAGCATCAACGGATAGGGGTTTGAAGTCAACAGAGGCAGCACACTGAAGAATAAGGTACAGGGTTATCCTGACTGTGGGTACAAACAATGAACTTTGGAGGATATAAGGAGAAAGCAAGGAAGACACCCCTTTATCCTGCATTTAGAAAGTAATGGGGCAGTATGATTACATTTATGAATATGGGTTCACAACCTGCCCTGGTTGAGAAGTTGCAAAGGACATTTGGAGTGGGATAAATTTCGTTAGACAGAAGAAGTTAAGTTTAATCTCTAGAAGGTGTGTTTTGATTTTGTTTTATATGTAACCCTGTTGTTTCCATTATCCTTTCTCACTGTCTCTTGAATCTTGACCCTCTGATGATAAACTTATTGTTGTTTGCACTGTAAATATCTCTCAGTGCTGTGATGTACAACATGCTGGGTGAGGCAGGCTGCACCTCAGCACTTGCTGCCTTTCTCTG